TTTATTTATTTATTTGATTCCTCAGTGTTTGCTAAACGTTCTGTAATTTATTAGTCGGTATATAATACAGCATGTGGTGTGTGCCATGCCTCATCTTATTTGTTTTTGTTAATAAACGTTTTGTAAGCTAGTTTGTCATTGTATCTTACTGATTTATTGTTGTTGTGCTTTTTGATTAAGAATAACAATGAATCCAACTTTTGTTTTAGTCTTAAAAAAATGAAAGGTGTGTAAATGTATTTAAGCAAAACTGTGACAACAAGACCGCGAACTCAAATCGCAAATAATACTACTGATGAGAATGGGTTGAATGTTAACAACTTTCGTTTCCATATAACTATAAACTATGATAAAAGTTCATCAGCATGCATTGAATAATCACATGTTGTAGCGCAAAAAAATAAAAAAATATTGCGACCAAATCATGTGCTCGTGCGACCAGCTGAGAAAGTTAGTTGCAAAAGAGCGACCAGTGGGAAGAATGAGCCTGGAGCCCTGATATGCATTTTACAGAGGCAAGAGGAAAAGAAAAAATACCATCGAAAGACAGTAAGTTCCCCTCAGACATACATTCATATAAACTCCTACCCCTAACTGAATCGCGATTTGTTTAGCATCTCAACCAATTTGAATCGTCACATATTTGAATCGATTTTCAACCGGCTCGCGGTTAGTCGTTACATCCCTAGTGTGTAGTAAACAAAACCGCGTGAAAAAAACAAAAGTGGCCAGACTGAAGTGTCAACAGATCCAGGTATTCCCTCACAGCACAGCAGTAACGATTTTAGTGTTAAAATAATAAAAAAAATAATCGTTTTATGGTTTTTTAAAACCTTTTATGGTAAATATCATCAAAACAATGCTAACCTCCAATCCATATAACTGTAAAGCAGAATTTAGACATGATAGAGGCACTTGTTATACTGTCTTTATGCTGGTTTCAATTTTAAAATGTAATGAACATTTAAACATATTTGTATATGTATTTATATTTAATGCAAAATATAATTTCCTTTTTTGTCTTTTGATTTTAGGGTGAAATGTGACCCATATGTGTTCTTGACAGGCTTGGTGAGATTCACATATTAAATCTAAATCTTACTGTGAATAGAATATGACTGACATGATAAACTTAACACAACATAAAACATAACTTACATAAAAAGGATACAAATATTACATACTCAGTCTACCTGTAAAATAGATAGTTTCATGCAAGTCTTAAAAAAAATTACTAGAAAAAGAAAAGTATTTGAAAAACATCTCTATAGTGTCATATTATTTCTCACTTGATTGACGTGTGCGTGTTCTCTGAGTCCGAGGTCCCAGAAGCGGCAGCCCACCTGATTCCCACACTGACCAACTAAAACAAACACACACACACATACACACACACACACACACACACAAAACAATGACATGAGGCAACAAGACAGAAATTCTTGGTCAGGTGTGCGTGTTATGCACCTTTTTTGTTGTTTATTTGGGAACCAATGACAGCTTGTACTTTAATTTTTTTTTTTTTTTTTTGGAGTATTTTTGGTTTAGTATGGAAGAGGATCTTGCATACTTTTGAACATAAATTAAATTAAGACTTTTAAATATGAATATTTGTCAGTTTTAAAAATGATGTATTCATTTGCATTTTTATTAACTGATACATAGATTGCGGAGTTCTACATTTTATTTTAACATGGCAAACCAAGTCCTGCATATCAGTGGTCTTGTGTCGATTAATCATTTCTAAAATATCACCCACATTTATTTATGCATGTATGTAACGTTATGTATGTTTGTAAGTATTTCTGTATGTAGAAGAATTCAAAATCCAGTTGCTTCAAATCTGAAGGGGACGCGGTTGGGTTGAATGAATCTTATGCTCTTGATGACGGAAAGTCTGCTTTATTACCGACATAACGTTAGCTTCTCAACACTAGAAGAAAACTGCGGTTTGAATACAGACCTAGCAGCTGACATGAACAGACTGGGACAGTAATATAGAAACTTCCTGAAATCATATTTCTTACAATAAGATTTAGTTCTATTTCCTGAAATTGCCATGGTTACTATACAGACATGACTCTAAATTCTAAATTAGCATGTTTCAGCCCGTCACAGGGAGTAACGCGGTTAACTCTAGTTATGACCATTAAAAATTAACTCTCTTTTTACCTTGGACTACTACGGACTGTGTCATCTTTTTAGATTATACCATTTTATTTACTTTTATCTGCATCTTACATCCATCTGTAGACTCATCGCTTGTTAGTTGACGGTTGTTGTTTGCTATAGAAACAGACACAGTGGGCGTTTCGCGCGACAATTTGAAGTCAAAGCGTCGTTGGTTGATAACGTAACACAGTGCGCAAGGAAGTTCTGTTTTGTAGTTTTTCCTTTTAGCATTTGCCTCTAAGCATTTTATCCACAAATGTAGATTTTCACGTCTCCACCTGTTTTTACTCTTCAAGAATTATTAAAAGAAGAAGAAAAAGCTGGTATTTTGTTGTATTTAACTGATAAGCACAAGTTTATTAATTCAATTATAATATCTTGTTAACACCCCTTTAATATTTTTTTTTATACTGAGGTGCTAAACCATTCAGGGCTTTATAAGTAATAAGCAAGATTTTAAAATCTATACATTGTTTAATAGGTAGCCAGTGCAGTGTTGACAGAACCGGGCTAATATGGTCATACTTCCTGGTTCTAGTAAGAACTCTAGCTGCTGCATTTTGGACCAGCTGGAGTTTGTTTATTAAGCGTGCAGAACAACCACCCAATAAAGCATTACAATAATCTTAAAATAATGTAATCATCAGGTTTTAGCCAGGTTTACTGTCCATACTAAACAGTATCCAAGATTAGAATTAGTGTGTCTCAGGTCATAGTATGCTGAAATCCAAAAGATACCCGGTCTGGATGGTCTACTACCCAGATGAGAACAGAGTCTGGGCTAAATCTGGTTTAAACTCAGCACTTCTGGCTTGATATTGATGGATTATCGAAGTGCAGACACATGCACACTCTTCACTTAAATTCGTCAAATTGTAAGATCATGTCCATTCACCAATGTGACAACATTAATCTGGAATCCCTGTTAGGGATACAATTAAATCCTTAGGTATTACAATTATGAGAAATGCAGGAAGGTAATTTTAGAAAGACCAAAGACCAGTCTAAAAAGACCAAAATAATTAAATATAAATGGTACAAATACATCTTTCTCATTTGGTTGAGTTTTTGTTTCAATCCATCATTTTACCATCATTATACCTGGCGATGTCTGAGTTTATAAGTGAGAAATGTTCTAATAGTTCAAGCAGACAAGTTCCTAATATTTATCCATTTTTTTACCCAACTGTTAAATATATTAGAATCTCTTGTTTAAAAATTCATGTTCATCCCAAAATTAAAGAGAACAATTTTAAAATGTCCGTTCTTCTAATAAGTTCCTAAGTGTTACATTGATATCAAAAGTGCACTATGTAGACTTTGTAACTCCTCTACCAAGAATACAGAACACATTTTTTCTCTTGAAAATTCTTGTGCCTTTTGGGATAACCTGCAGAATTGGTTACATGAGAAAAGGTAGCTGTACTGAACTTGTCTTTTGCAGGTATTAGACATTAAATATGGAACTGTTAATTTGCACTTGGAACTACAACTTCCATAAGAATGGTCTATAAAAGTTGTAAAGTTAAAAGTATATTGCTGTTATATTAATTTAATATTTACAATAATGTAAACATTCATATAAAATGAATATAAATTTATATTTATCTTCAGTTTTGTTCAAATATTCTTCACCTATACTGCGAAGTTGGAATTTACATAGAAATACAGATGCAAAACAAATATCAGAAAACATCAGCTTTATTCATGTGTACTGTATGGCTTTGTTAATATTTTGTGCATATTTGTTTAAAGTATCAGGTTTTTAGTAATTATATACCTCAGTTTAAGATCTTTTTGTATCAGTTTAACACAATGCTTGCAGTGCTCTGGATTACAGTACATTAGTAATTAATTAAATATTTCATAGTGATAGAATACTGTAGCTATAAATGATGCTGAAGAGACAGTGACAGTGGTGCTTCATTCTTTACTGAAACACAAGCAATAACACAGAGTGATTTCTGTTGCCGTCGCTCAAGCAGCAGGACAGGCGCCCACACCGACTGCACCGCTGACCAAAGCTGCTTTACTGAAGCTCACAGGAGACTCGTTCACAGACAGGTTCCTCATGCAACCCGTGTAGCCCCTCCTGCTGTGGAGACTGTGAGGCAGCATGGAGGCTGGAGCAGAGGAAAGGGTCAAAAAGATTGGAATTAGCTCTCTCTGAGATCTATGAGCTACAATTATTGACTTTAGAGTAGGAATAAATACAACACTCACTCATACAGTCACAAAGACAAGAAAGAAACAGCATTGTGATTAGAGCAATCCTCCTGTTGTATTTAAGTCATTTTAAAGGGGTCATGAACTGAGAAATCAATATTCCCTTGATCTTTTGAAACATAAGGTCATTGTACTACATCCTGTAAGTTTCAGAACTCGAAACTTCCTTGTTAGTCTAAAAACAGCTTATGTTGAAAGCAGTCTGCCAAAATGAGAGCTTGTGGAATGTTCTACTCTATGATGTAATAGTGTGGCTAAACACCGCCTCTGCAGAAGATCAACACCTGTTTAGCCCCGCCCACCGATTCACACACGTAGTGTAAATAACAAGAGAGGAAAACGCCGAAACCAAACGACAAAGATGGCTCTGAAGAAAACAAAACGCTGTTCAGTGCCAAGTTATGGAAAAACACTGTTTGCGTTGCTTTCCTTCTGATCCCAACATTAGGAAAGAGTGAATGTACATTATTTTGAATGAAGATCCAGACAGCGACAGTAAGAACTCGGCCCTTTATTCACTTAATTTTACCACAGATTCGTTTACAAGCAAGCACAATTCGAAGCAGAATTTTCAGAAAGACAGAAACTGAAAGACAATCTTGTGCCGACTATATTGGATCTGACAGTAATGTCGCAACACAAGTGTGAGTAACTGATCACTATTGCTTTGTCTCTTCTTTCAGAATGTTTGATATGTATTGAGTTATTTATGTGTTTTTGACCTAAATCACAGCAGCGTCCATCTGTGAAGGACTTGCTGTCAAATATAAACAACTATTAGCCAATCACAGCAGTGTTTACTTCTGAGTCTACAATCCTCCAAGCCTATTCAAACAGAGCATTCTGATGAGGGGGTCAAAAACAGGACAGAAAATAGCTTATTACTTCTAAATTATGATGTTTTTTTATGTAAACATCTTGATAACATTATAAGGGGACCTAAGAGAACAGTACAAAATTATAAAAAAAAAATTAAAAAAAAGTCAGTTTATGATCCCTTTAAACCAGAGAAGATTTTTCCCCAAAAAATGCTAGTTAATGTTATTGCTTTGGACTAAAACTCTTAGTTTTAAGACTTTGGTATAACAACTTTCCATAAATATTTTGATAACTTTTGTACTTTTTTGGGATTTCCCCCCGCCATGTTACATATGTCGCCTTCTTTGTAAAAATAGCTATTAAAAAACTTGAGTATATATATATATATATATATATATATATATATATATATATATAGAGA